TGTGTGTGTGTGTGTGTGTGTGTGTGTGTGTGTGTGTGTGTGTGTGTGTGTGTGTGTGTGTGTGTGTGTGTGTGTGTGTGTGTGTGTGTGTGTGTGTGTGTGTGTGTGTGTGTGTGTGTGTGTGTGTGTGTGTGTGTGTGTGTGTGTGTGTGTGTGTGTGTGTGTGTGTGTGTGTGTGTGTGTGTGTGTGTGTGTGTGTGTGTGTGTGTGTGTGTGTGTGTGTGTGTGTGTGTGTGTGTGTGTGTGTGTGTGTGTGTGTGTGTGTGTGTGTGTGTGTGTGTGTGTGTGTGTGTGTGTGTGTGTGTGTGTGTGTGTGTGTGTGTGTGTGTGTGTGTGTGTGTGTGTGTGTGTGTGTGTGTGTGTGTGTGTGTGTGTGTGTGTGTGTGTGTGTGTGTGTGTGTGTGTGTGTGTGTGTGTGTGTGTGTGTGTGTGTGTGTGTGTGTGTGTGTGTGTGTGTGTGTGTGTGTGTGTGTGTGTGTGTGTGTGTGTGTGTGTGTGTGTGTGTGTGTGTGTGTGTGTGTGTGTGTGTGTGTGTGTGTGTGTGTGTGTGTGTGTGTGTGTGTGTGTGTGTGTGTGTGTGTGTGTGTGTGTGTGTGTGTGTGTGTGTGTGTGTGTGTGTGTGTGTGTGTGTGTGTGTGTGTGTGTGTGTGTGTGTGTGTGTGTGTGTGTGTGTGTGTGTGTGTGTGTGTGTGTGTGTGTGTGTGTGTGTGTGTGTGTGTGTGTGTGTGTGTGTGTGTGTGTGTGTGTGTGTGTGTGTGTGTGTGTGTGTGTGTGTGTGTGTGTGTGTGTGTGTGTGTGTGTGTGTGTGTGTGTGTGTGTGTGTGTGTGTGTGTGTGTGTGTGTGTGTGTGTGTGTGTGTGTGTCTGTGTGTGTGTGTGTGTGTGTGTGTGTGTTTCTTCTTTTGGGCTGGAGGCTGGCGAGCGGGCAGCGGGGTCCGGAGGTAGGTCAGACGCCGAGGCCGCTGCTGTTTGTCAGGGGCCGAGTTCTGAGAAGGGGTTTTGAATCTCAGGCTGGCTTTGTTTATCTGCGACCTTCCTTACTACGGAGTGTGTAAAACGGGCATTAAGGTGTCTTTCTGGACAAAATATATCCAGAACAAGCTAGTCTTTTCTTAGTCATTAGAGATGGTCTAGTCTCTGGGCTAGAGTCCTTCCTAAATCCCATAAATTAAAAATTCTCAAAAACGTCTTAAAATTTTTAAGAAATAATTTTCAGTCACTCTGGCTAAATGCATATCTTTCCTAGTGCCTCGTGAGGGTAGGCATTTGCTTTTCTTATAAGGAAATGTAAGGTTTCACATGCTAGTATTTCTGGGAGGGAATTATTTAATTTATGCGATTACATGCTAAACATTTAGAAATTCAGAGCCTTAAGTATGAAGTGTGACGAGTTTGGGTTTTTTTTAAGCAACATACAGGTCTAAAACAAGAGATTCTTTAAAAGTATGTGCTGTTTAGGGAAAATACACGAGGTTGCAACTTTGATAACTATTCTTGGTTTTCACTCAGTTATCTATCTTGTATGCTGGAAAGAAGGTACTGTGGAAAGGATAGTTTATGCATGATTATGTATAGTAGTATGAAAAATGCACAAATACAGTTAAGTCTAAATTTTTATGAGTTGAGGATAATACTCCTTAAATTTAGTTTTGGAAGAGAGGGATGATGTAGGTATAAAATACCAATGCTAAATATTTTTCTTGAGAAAATTAGTTTTAAATCAAGAGTGCATGTTGTGGGGGAAAGTGCATTTTACCATAAAACAAGGCTTTTTCCATAGGTAGACAGAACATATCATATAACTACAATTTAAATATTTCCAAGGTTGGTGCCTGGTAGGTTAAGTTTTCTGAAATTAACTTCAACAAAAAATTCTCCTAAATGAAGCAAGGGTCTAATTTTGCAGCCCTTGGGCTTTTTTGACAAACTGAAACTTGATGCTCTTTGAACAGGAAGATGTTTTGTGTTTCTTTAAACACAGAAAAACAGATGTGATACTAAAAAGTGAACTAATCAAGAACTTTATTTTTGGCAGGTACAGCTAAAAGCTGCAGTTGTAATGCACCTGTGAGTGAGTAGTGCTAGCTGTGTCAATGGCCTCTGTGCCAATAATTCCAGACTCTTACAATCATGTCTTGGCAGAGTTTGAATGTTTGGATCCGTTGCTTTCTGCACTTAGGCTTGATTCTAGTCGTCTGAAGGTGAGTTTGTGGTGTTTGGGTGTGTTTGGGGTTTTTTTTGTGGTTTTTTTTTTAAATTCAAATAATGACCTTATTTGGTTTATTATCTGATTACTGCACAGGATTCATCTTGTTCGTTTTGGGTGTGTGCATGCTAGTTTATGGGGGAGAAGCACTTTGGGAGAAGTGAAGACAGAGGATCCTATTACTCTTTGTGTGTTCTCTTCAATGATACAGCCTTACACAGTTGTTGTCTTTTATACTGTTTACTCCAATTGCAGAATGTGCTGTTCTGGTATCTTTGATGACTGTACTGCCAGTGTTTCAGGAGTGGCACACACAGCTGGCAAACAGTGAAGCCTTTAAAAAATAACATGCAAGAAAAAGATAATGTTATTAGTACTGACTAGCAGCATGTCATGCATTTTGATTTTGATTCCTTCAGTGCACATGTATAGATGTGTCGAAGAGATGGCTAGCTCTTGGCAGTTCAGGAGGAGGACTGAACCTTATACAGAAAGATGGTTGGAAGCAAAGACTCTTTCTCACTCATAAGGTAAGGGTAAAAAATTCTATACAAAAATTGCCAGGGAAAATGGAACTGGAAAAGAGTAATTTTTTCAATTTTTATTTTTATTGAGTCAATGGACATTTTCAGCTTGCTGCATTGTCTAAATAAGGTGACATTTTGGACTCCTCCATTTAAAAAAAGGTTGTGGTACTGGAGTGTATCCCCAAAGTGTGTGGTGTAATAGATTTCATGAGGTGTGAAAAAAATTACTTGAGAGGGTCAGACTTTTGTTTTTCAAATTCTTAATTTTAACAGCAACAACAGTCACCTGAATATTAAAGAGTTAGAAGAAAACTTTGAATATGAAACCAGAGCAACTCACGTGTAGATAACTACCAATGTTTGGATGTCCTAACTATGAACTACCTGGATAAGCAAAGAAAAAATTAGGCTGGCTTGCTTTTGCTGAAAGAGGTCATGGAACAGGGTTGGCTGTTTTTACAGCCAGATGCTATTTCCTGGGAGCCACTGCTGCTCCCACCATAACATGAATGTATCCATTTTTTTTTTAAGGTTGGGAGCATCACACTTAGTTCTGGCAAAACAGCCTCATAGGTATGAGGACAGGAGAATGATTTCTCTGTTTTCCAAGTTAGAGAATGAATTGCAATCATTTCTCTTGATGTTGTTGTATTGTCAGCTGCATCTTTTTAGAGTAAGCTCAGTGTTTGCAAACAAGACCAAATGACGACAACGAAACACCACATCACAACAAAGTGGTAGCAGCTGTTGACATGAATCTGGTTTATGTCTTAAGGATAAAAGTTGTGTAGTGGTAAAGGCAGCACAAGAACAACTTTCACCTGCACTTACTCCCATAATTGCTTTCAGGAAGGTGCCATTTCCCGAGTTGCCTGTTGCTTGCATGATGAAGACTATGTTGCTGTGGCCACCAGGTGAGTGATGTACTCACAAACATGAATGCTGGATAAATATTTTTAAGTAGCTTCTAAGTTTCAGACTTTGGTATCTTCTGGGAATTTGGAGGGGGACAGGGGATTAACCCTACAGAATATTTCTCTGCACAGACAGTTAACTTTTTGTTTCTGGAATAACTGTGCCAGAATAAGTATTATTTCTGTAACAGAACATCTATGGGAGAGCTAATTCATGTGAAGTTATGATGATAAATGTGTCTGATACCTTTCAGCATAGAAGAAATATCTTCCTTAACTTGGCAGAGTGAGATTGGTAGTTAATACCATTTACATTGTTTACCATCCATGTAAATGCTTATTTTCTGCATCCTCACTGGCAGTTCCAGTAAACGTGAGAGTAGCCTTCCAAACAAAGCTGCTGATACATTGTAATCCAAGGAAGGACACTTAGTCCTCTTCAAAATTAAGAATGTGACATTTCTTGAAAGAATGCAACCTCAAGCACAGCCAGCTCTGAGATGTGCTGCTTTGTTTAGATTTTCTGTTTCTTTGGAATAACTCATCTTTGAAACTAAATCTTCTAATGTTTTATCAGTGATAAAATGTATTTTCTTTTTTAATTGTTGTAGCCAAGGTCTTGTAGTAGTCTGGGAGCTGAATCAGGAACGTCGTGGGAAGCCAGAACGGATTTATGTTTCCTCTGAGCATAAGGGCAGAAAAGTCACAGCTCTGTGTTGGGATACAGCTGCCCTGC